CGATATACATATTATTACCTAAATTACTAAAGTAAAACTTTTTTCGAATGTTTTCGAAAGTTTTAAGAAATTGTTCGTTCACATGAATATCAATTCTAGATTACAATAATAATTTACAATAATAATAAAAAAGGAATTAAAATAAATGTATTTTGTAGTGTCTTTTATTGCGACTCGACAGAGTTAGCAACCCTAGATATGGCTAAGGAATACGTCGTGAACCTGGGTGCAGTAAATGACGTCTTAAAAAAAAAAGGAAACCGGATCAGCTGAAGTGAAGGGAAGAAGAAAGCATGGAAGAAAAAGGAAGACTGCTTCTTGTGATGAGGTTGTTTTAATAAGAAATGGTAGAATAAACTTCAGGAAAACTAGTTTCGATCAGCAACAAGATTTACGTAGTCAGACTAAATTCCCAATTTATGGCTTAGGTACATCTCCTCAAGTGAAACCTGTGTTTACATTAATTTGCGCAGTACTGTAAAACAAGGAAAGTTCATGATCATTCATTCAAAATTCTCAAGATAAAACCTAAAACGAAGGACGTAAACCTTTCTTTGATGGGAGGACAAATACTTATTTATTTATTTCTAATCCTATCTTAATCTTATCTTAATTATAATAATTGATAATTAATAGTAATATTTCTCTTTGGTCAGTTTGACTATCACTTAAATGGACAAATACTTATTAACGGTAGTGTATATGCGTGTCGATTACTATATTGTGGTGTTAGTCTGATGAAAATTAAAAAACTGACTTTATATCTTGGTTCGTTTTAAATGCAACGTGAATAGTGAAGAAATATTTAATTCCGCGTGTGTTCTATAAATAAAAAGTATTTCAGGGCTAAAAAGGCAAATATGTACTAGGTATTCTTGTACAATAATAACGTAATTAAAAAGTATTGTGTGTAAGGAAGCATTTTCTTTTCTTCACTTAACGTAAGTAGAATAAGCTGTCAAGGTTTGAGCCCTTATGTATGTACTCCTGAAGAACAGGGAAATCAATTGCGACGATTATGTAATTCATACACATTATTGATCATGTGTGTATTTCACCAAAAAGATTCAGAGAATAGGGGATCTAACGATAGATCGGTTTATATATAAGAATTTCAAATTAATAACTTCCTCGGACGTTTTCGGTATATTCTGAAGATTTCAGTATATGTATACCGAATTTATGTAAATATCATGAACTGAAATTATATTTTCGATTAACTCATTATTAGTATCAAATTAAAGACAAAAATGACAAAATTTCGAATTCTTTCAATCTTGTTTTACATATAAATTAATCCAACATCTAACACTATTTAATTTTAAAAATCAAATTTCAACCACTGAATTCAAAATACGTACAAATGCTTTTATAAAAATTAAACTATCATTTCAAGGAAAGAAATCTGCTTTTTTTGTTATTAGGTTTTTATAGTTCACGTTGAATAACTGCAGAGTTTACAACTGTGGAGTGAGAAACCGGTTCTGTTTCGACATTGCTCCGCAACCGTTGTTACTATCTTATATTTATGCACAGAATTATAATAAGAAACGCGAGGAATATACGTCCAAACGCTATTACTTGTTAAATATGAGAATATTTTCATTTGTCATATGAATTAATAATGATTGTTGTTTTTTTATTAATGAATTTCTATTTTTAGATTATAATTAAAACTTCAGAATAATCGGTTATATACTTATTACGAGATATGTATGTTTTTTTTATCACGAGTACTTTACCTTCGTGAACTTCTATTTGTTAAACTTATGATTTTACTTTTATTCATAATCCATTACTTTTTGCAGCAGTCAAAAGAAAATACTACAGCTTAATAACGAATTTTTGTATTTTCTGTTATTATTCACAATGTACATTTAAAAAAGAAAAAAACGAAACAATACTGTCAGATTGACGTATGATGGTAAATTTATCATAAAAATATTTGATCGATGTCTCATGAATGCGAAAAAGTTATTATTTCATAATACAGGATACAATATAAAACGTATTTTATATTTAAATAAAAACAAACGATAAATTTCATTCAATTGCGAGACATTTGCATTTGTAGCCTATAGGGCTCTGTGAAATATGATAAAAACAAAACTTTCATCGTATCCAACGAGATTTCTATTTATTCTAAACCCAATAAGATACTTAACCCTCATCATCCCTTGTGTAAATTTGACACAGTTTGCTCCTAAGAAATGATGTTATTCTGCCATGTCTACGTAAATTTAGTTGAGGCTTCATGATGTTTTACCTTAAAGAATTTGTAAATTTAACTATTTATCGCTTCATTGTATTAATTTTTACCACTGGGTCAAATTGACACCGAGGGACAAATGAACTTGGAAAAATGAGGGACGGATGAGGGTTAAGAAGAAAAATAAATTTCTACATTTACTCCGGTTTTTATAAGATACTATAGAAAATGTTATTTTGCATAAAAATCCGCAGTCTATTCATTACAGCACGATTGAAACAGTCAGATGTTCTTCATTCAAACAGGCTACATAACATTCCATCCGGGGTGTAACATACATACATAGATATGTACTACATACAGCCAAAGAAAATACGGAAACAAGAACAGAATCATGGTAAATTCAGGCCTTTCGTAAATTTAGTTTACGATTTTCTAGTTATTCTCGGCGATCATGAACGCGTCACTAACGAAGATTGAATTGACGCGCGCATTCAACTGGGGCGAGTAGTCTGCGCCAATACATTAGCTATCGGCACTGCATGCACGTTAGAGGCCGGTTAATACGTTCTGAAATAATAAGATAGTGAAATCTAATTTCTTATCAATGCTCGAGCGAGGCACTATACCGTTTCAATGTCACTGATAGCAATTAAGCCGTCAGAACTGGACCATCTCTGTTGTCTATTTTGCACGAAACACAATCCCTCGATGTTCTATCAACTTTATTTAACATCGGTGATATTCAAGGTTAGGTAAAGTGGATATTTTAAACAGTGAATAGTTTAGTTCATTTTAAATTCTGTGTAGAAATATGAAAGTAAAATAACCCTTTGGCTTCATTAACCTTCTTTTTTATTTACTTTCAGTTCATTCTTAGAGTTTAAAGTGATCTCCCATACGTTTATGGTCATAAATGTTTTTTTTATCTCTTGTTACAATACCATTTATTTAGCCACCTTATTTTCATTGTCAAGAAATATTCGAGGTACATTCATGGTTAAAATATTGGACCAGTGCAAAAGCTTTAGATGGGTTTTATTCTAAACGAGTAGATTAAGAATAATTTTAATTACAATTTAACAATAATATAAAGAAATACATAATCATTCTTTTATGACATGTGTAGTTTCTATGGAAATTTTTATTCTAATAAACAAATTTTTGAATATCATTATTTATTGAATTTATATAATTAAATTATAAATTTACAGTGTACCACAGCGTGTGATTCACAGACCAGCTTCTCCAAACAGATCATAAGTGCTCTTTACGGTGTTCGAAGCGTTCAGTCTTTTCCTTTTTTGAATTTTTTTCAAAAGCTCAATTTTTATTTTACTTTAAACACTAAAACACTGAATCGCGTTAATTTTTGTTCTATACAACTAATTGTCGAATCAACTAAATTTTGTCCAATGCCTGTTATAAAGTGCTGGCTACAAGTTTTATGCAAGATTTGCTACAAACAACTTGCACGCACATTGGCAGCAAATTGGCAGCAACACATGCGGAAAATTGGCTTACGCAAACCTTGTTTCGGTTTTGCCCTCAATTTGACATAAGTCCTTTTGCAAGACTTTCTGCCAATTTGCTTTACAGTTGCCTGCAAAACCAAAGTCATATGCGGAAACAGATGGCTATGGTTTTTTTGAAAATTTTTGTCATTTATTGCTGGCAATTTACTCGAAATTTGTATACAACTGGTTATCAGGGTGTGTTATACTGACACCGTCTAAAAATATATTAACACAATTGTTCCGTGTTTCCTCAAAACTATCACAATCATATCTGCCCAAAATTTCATCAAAACTTTTGCATTGACCCAATACAAGCTTAAAATTCTTCATTTTATAGAACAGTACACACTCGCTCGGAAAGTTAACCCTTCCTTTCATTATGCATTTCATTAAATTATTATTAATTCAATTTCTCAGAGCAAAACGCCCTCAGAGCAAATCCCTCAATGTTCTATCGACTCTATTTCCTCTTACTCAACATTGGTGATATTCAAGGCTGGGTAACCTACATATTTTAAACGGTGAAGTTCATTTTAAATTCTGTATATATATTTGGTCTAAGAAACTTTTGCACTTGCCTAATACAAGTTTCGTCTTATTCGCATTTGCTGTAGCACAAAAAGCATCAGATCGTTTTTACACGTATGTCCTCAATTGTGCTTAGATGAGCATTGGTCGTCAAAAAGTTACCCAGTTAGATACCGGTTAAATTAACATTGGAAATGTTTTGTCTCTAAATCTTACCCCAGCTGGGACGCTATTTATTCCCGGTGCCCTTTCATTCTGCGTTTGGCAGAGCACGAGCATCGTCTTGCGACGCACTCACCGTTCCGAACACAAACATAAGTACACGTGTTTACGCGTGCCTCAATTGACGTATTAAACCTTCGCGGGCCCGTTACTTTACACGAACAAAGGAAGTTCAAGGCGCAGGGAAGACTGAGTAGGTACCGCAAGGTCAACCCGGTGACATGTAGCAAACCCAAAGAAGAGCTGTGTAATTCTCGGTATTTGATTTAGGCGTTCAACTCCGTCTCACGCCTACCTCGGTGACACAGAGGGCAACCATGTTAAAGGCGACGGTCTCGTAAAAGCCGAATGTTCAAGAGCGCTGGCCAATTTCCGCTAAAGAATCATCCCGTTTCTCGCGTACTTATCTAGACGAGCGTTGAAGCTTCTATGCGCGGAAAGAATGATATTGTTGTCCGCGGGCCCACCTCGATTCACGATAAATCAAGTTAAAAAACCAAAAAACTTTTAACAAAGTTAATTACCCCATTTCTTTCCCGTGTGACCACAGTAAGTGCCCTCGGCGGGATCGTGAATGTAATCTCGAACGGCCATCCATTTCGTCTTCGATTCGGGCACTCTATTGTAATCGAACTCGTAAGGGTCCTTCTTCAGTTGCGTTTTGCCGGGCATGCTGTCGAACCGTTTTGACTTTCCGTAACTCGCGATACTCTCACTCGGAACTGGCTTCGCGATGGAGCTGTCCTTAACTCGTGCATAAAGTCACCGTACGCGCGCGATGGGATGCAGTGGCAGGTCCGTGGTAAATATATATTCTCGAGAGTTTAAAGGAAGGAGTAGGTACAACGGCCTCGCGACTGCTCGACGAGGTTGCAAATCCTCTCGAACGGAAGGTGCTCGGGCCGTAGTTTGCCGCGAAGTAAAACGGAACGGTATCGCGCGTAGTCAGTCTCGTTGGCAAGACTACGATCGACTGGGGACCCCTACGTCTACCGATCGAGCGGTGGGAAATGTTGTGATACATGTGTGTACACATCAGGAGCCGCACAGTCCCCCGCCTTATGCCCGAATCACACTTGTCGCCGGCGAGCGTTTGGTTTCCTCATCTGCTAGAGATGATGTGCAAAAACACTAATAATGATTTATCATTAGACGCGGATTTTTCTGCAAAATTAAATTTTCTAAAATAATTTATAAAGACAGGAGCAAATGTAGAAATTTAGTTTTCCTCTTAAATGTCTTATTGGGTTTAAAATAAAGCAAAAAAACTCGTTGAATCCAATGAGAGTTCTGCCTTTTATTGTATTTCACAGAGCCCTATAGGCTACAAATGCATAAAACCCGCAGTCTATTTATCACAGTGATCGCAGAATCACGATCATGGTCGTGATTTAACTTCATTTGTGTCCGTGATAATGATTTTTTTATCTTCAGTGAAATTTCTCACTGTGATGTGAATTCTTAAAAGCAATCTTTAAAGAAACACATATTCAATATGATTTGAAAATGAATTACATTAATATTTACGTTTTGATAAATCAGTAGAAAAAATTCAATTATAAAAGAATGATTTGCTATAATTATACAACATATATTGTTGATTAGAATTTATAATCCTTAATTTATTCATTATTCATCATTGTTACTCATTATTCCTTTACTTTATACTATACGATGTAACTACATAGCATTTTTGTTTTTATGTAATTAATATAAAATACACAAGTTTGTGACGCGGGCAAAGAATTGTTGTTATATTCTCCACTAATCAGAGACGATCATGAAAAATCACAAATCACTTTGAAAAATCACCGCGATTGGGAACGAATGTGATCGAATCAATCGTGATTTACATGTAGCAGTTTACGCCATCTCTAGTTTCCGCGGTATTCCTTCGTATCAGCGATTAGCTGCATGATGTAACTGTTCTCGTTGACCGTATCTTATCGAGGGAATTATACGACTACGATCGTAGTTTTGTGTAATTTAGTGGGCCATAAATTGGTTTCAGCAGATCTCTTTACCATAAAATATTTATTACAAAAATATTTATTACAAAAATATGTGTGAACATATATTGTTTAGCTAATATTGTCTGTGAATAGTGTCTACTTCCTATTTTCCATTCATTTAATTATATATGATATTTTCTATTTTTCAACACGTGTATAACTATTGTTCTTCCTGCGGTGATCATGTAAACATGTTTGATTGAATACGTTCTATCACAAGTAGTACGGGTGATTATTTACTTAAATGTTATTAACAATTTTTATTATTTGGTTCTGCTTTATTAAATTAAAAGTGGTGTAACAATGAGGTTTTTTGAAGCAGAATTTATTATACACATTATACAATGCTATTGTGAAGAATACATCAAGCAAAATAAAGGGACGACAGAAAGGAAATCAAAATCGTTTTATGTTGAAGAAAAGTGAATACAGTAATGCTTAGTCAGACCGTCTAATTCACGAAAAACATGTGACTGGTTTTTCTTATTTTTTTTTATATTACGTCAATGTTCACTGTTAGTCCACTATTAGGTCATCCCACTCGAAGTCGGAAAAAAAAATTAATTGAATTTATCGCTGTCTCGAAGCACATCTTATCCAAGTTTCAACCAAATCCGAAATATTATTACAACAAACTACTCCTGAGTCTGGCTTGGCGTGACTCTATTCTCATTAGTGAAAATTGTCATTGTCCATTCCGATTTCGAGAATGTTTTCAGTGATAAAAGACAAAACTTTCATTGAATTCAACGAGATTTCTATTTTATTCTGAACTCAATACAGTACTTCAGAGGAAAAATAAATTTCTACATTTGCTCCTGTCTTTATAAATTACTTCAGAAAATGTTATTTTGCATAAAAATCCGTAGTCTACTTATTATATACTCCAACAGAATGGTGAAAGTTACTGACAAGCTAAATGGCTATTTAAATTTTAATGGAAATAATAATTAACTAAGTTTTACGCCATGAACCTGAGGTAGTAAGTACAGTTCTATCAAAAGACTGGATTGTTCGACATTTTTAGATTACACTTACGTGTTCAGCCGAAGTCAATACCTTTCCAATGCTGTGATAAAACTTTCTCAAAAGTGTTTATGACTGCGGTAGCTGAACGATCGAGAATATTAACACAGCTTAATTAGCTGGTTGACAATCGAAGATCTCCTATGGACACCTGTCTCACTAATTCCTCTTAACTCATATCTTGATAAGTAAACGAGCCGTAAAAAGAATATAACCATCGAATAATAATAAAAGAAAGTTATTGTAAAATAGTAATTATTACCATTAAATTAAATAATTAATTATGGAAATTATTCCTTCACAATACTTCATAAAAAACGAACAGAGTTAATAATCCAATGATTTGACTAGACTCCTAATATGAGTGTAATAGAAATCTCCATCATAGGATCAAGGTTTACATAAAGGTGTTAATTACTTCAAGTATTATATTAAAGACGTGAATAAATCATGGTTTTATGGTCATAGACTACCATGGGAATTAATTACATTCACGAATAACCATTACGATTTACAATTCTTCCTCATGAAGAGTTCATTTTATTCTTAACGATACCAAACATTACGGCGTTAAAAATTAATTTTACTATTTTCTTACATAAGACGAACATTGTAAAATATACACACATAGTATGATGTGATACTCGTTTTCATTACATTAAATTACTATGAAATAAAAAAGAAATAATTAAATAAATAAGACAATCTGAAAAACCATAAAATTATTTTAAATATGTGGGAGTTTATATGCCAATGCAGAAAGTGTTTCAGCTAACTTGATCACCTCGAATAATGACTTAACGGTACACTTTATGAAAATGTTGAGGCATGGAAATTAAATGGCATCAAGAGGCACATCTTACAAGATATGTGCTCTTTTTGTGGGTGGAGGCATTTCGGAGATTTCAAGGTCACCTTAATTTTTGTTAAGATAATTACCTACTTTTTGTACCATACATCGATAGAGTATCAAATTCTAAGTACGAATGTGTTGACCTTCATACATTCTAAATCTAATAGATAACGAGATATTTACAAAATAATCACTGTATTGAAATCACTGTATTGAAGTTGAGGGGCACCAGTTCGAGCTATAGCTTCCAGATAGTAACCAGGAACTTCTACCGAAACGTAATTTAAATAATTAAAAAGTAATGAAACCGGTATTATACCTTTATTATACCGGTATTTTCGGTCGTACCTTCGCCCTAAATAATCCTATACGTATAAGCTCTACCCTTATAGAAACCGAAAAAATACCGGTATTTATTTCGGTTTTCGGTAATATATCGGTATCGGTATAGCTTTGATAGTGTAATATCGGTATCAAAATCATACCAGTTTAAGTCTTAGAATTAATAACTACGTATTACAAATTATTTTGTCAATACCTCGTTAACTATTAAGTTTAGGTTATATGAAGGTCAACACATTTTTATTCAGAATTTGTTACTCTAGTCGATCTATGGTAGAAAACATACGTCATTTCGTTAAAAAAAATCAAGGTGACCTTGAAATGTTTGAAATGCCTCCACCCACAAAAAAGCACGTACCTTAAAAGATGTGTCCCTTGGTTCCATTTAAATTCCACGCCTCAAAATTTTCATAAGTCATTATTCGAGGTGATCAAGTTAACTGAGACACCCTGTATTGTTTGAAACTGACTTGTATCAAAAGCAATATGGTGGGCATGCAGGGATTAAATGTTTGTACCCATCCCCCATATACTCATATCACCCTTATGTCGGTTTGCAATTTGAAATTTTAATAACAGTTTATTATTATCGTTAACCGCTAAATTAAATTGTGATATTAACGCGATACGATGCACCGTAGTGTAGTTTACATGAAATTAATAGACCTATCAGATGTTATCTCCACGGTTATACACAGAATAATGACTGTATGTATCGGAAACGCTCAAGGTCACATTATTTCGCATGTTTTTTTTGTCACGAGGTTTAAACGTAACTAAGATCACGCTTTGCTGTAAATTGGATTTCACGGATTGAAGGAAGGATGATTATTTACAAAAGGAGTTTGTTGTATATTTTATCGTTTAGAGTAGACGTTGCAAGGTTTACTTTTTATATTAGGAATGTACGAAACGAGCTGTGTTATGTCAGTTGAAATTTCTACAAATTAGTTAACGTGTCTATTAATTACTCTGTCTAATTTAATGTCTAATTATTTTTCAAAATTCGATAGGATTATAATTACGTAATATGGAAATAATGTTTTATTAATAATGTCCTTATTCAAATGACAGTTTATACGAACAACAAAGCAAATAAATATTTGTTATTTAAATAGTTGCTAGTTGAAACTTATAATTGATATGTTTCCCATACTTTGCATTATATGGTATTCACAGTCAAATAATACACATAATAATAAAATGGTGCCGTTTGTTAACAAACCACAGATTTCATGCCTTTTGACTTTTGAAAGTATAATACATTGAATACTACAGTAAAATTAATAAAATTCGCATTGTATTTTAAAGTAACGAATTAATACAGCACTTTAAAGTAGATATTTACGTAACCGTAGATTTAACAAATTAGTAAATATTGTTAATAAATTCATAAATAAATCTTCCACAATTTTACTTGGATTATTCGTCAGAATAAATATTTATACCAATACTTGTATCGATTTCAAGCATATAGATATCATTTTCATTAAGTAAACGAAGTTATTTCATTCTTTGGATTCGTTTCACGAAAAGTCATCCACATTCTTCTGTCTAAATGATATTAAAAAATTATTACTGACATTTTATCTAATAACTGCATAAATTTTATTTTAAGTTATATTTACCAGTCATCTATTATTATTTGGAAGTCTAATGAGTAATGAGATCGTTGTTCGATGTTGAAGGCCCATAAATTGCATTCAACCGTGACCAATCTGTTTGCTGTAATATACACAACACTAGTATGCATCATGATTTAAGGTACATTTTATTTGGTAGAGAAATTTAGATGATTTTTCTTACGTGTTAAATTCTGGAAATGTAACGCAACAATGGGCGAAAGATAATCTTGCTGGCCGGTAAACGGAAAATATTCAATTGGAAACCCAGGACTTGGAATGTAATCTATTTCTCCAATATGCTCTTTATCAACGCTGTTTGCACCGTCGCAAGATAACCAAATGTAAAACTACAACAAAGTAACTTCAATGCTATTTTGCAACACGAAGGTTACAATTTATATACATTTAGTCACAAAAGCATCTGCCCACTCCATACGTAATAACAAATTTCGCATATTTAAGTGATGTTAAAATTCGAAATATTAATTAGAATTTCTATAATTATAAATTTTGATTAATATACTTAAGGTTAGAATATATTCAATTCAGAAGTGATAAATAGTTTATTTTAAGAAAGTATTGTCCTTAAAAAAAGAAGCTAAAAATAATATTTAATAAATTAATATTCTATCAGATGTACCCACGATCATACTCTCATCTGCATTAATAATTAAATATTAATATAATAATTTTTTTCCGACGGTCGGTGTATACGTATATATTTTCTTTTTTCACTGCCTAAAATAGGAATACCTACCTTTTTTAAATGAGATGTGTAAAATTTCCAAGTTGAATGCATTCTATTGTATATTAATCAAGGTTTGTGATAATAAAAATTTGAACTGTGAATTCTGATTCTAAGGTCAAAGTGATTAACTCCATTTGTTTAATTTTTTCAAATTTTAATGGTGCCGCACCACTTGATTGGTGCTTAACTAATTATATTTAAAATAAATCCTAAATGTAAGTTTTATAGAGTTAATCACTTTCGCAAATTAACGAAAATCTTGAACATTTTCTTCCAGTAGTTGTGTAAACGAACCTTTTCTGACGACTGTATCGCCATCTTTAAGTTATTCGGCATATTCTTAGGCAAACGCGAGGATTGATTATAATAATCGGGTACCCAATCGAACCTCTGCAGCATTTACATGTATAAGTATAATATGAAGGAACCAACTTATGTTATATTTATGTTGTATAAATATTGTTAAAAATTACCTTATTGAATTTGACAAGAACACAGGGTTTCAAAGGTTTTGAGTATCCGTACGGATATCTACTGCATACCCCGAGACTTTTTGTATCAAAGAAACAAGGCCTCCTCGTACGATTGAATTCATAATTTTGGTGTTGACAATTGACATTATATTTCGATACATTTGCATTGTACTCTAAAATGAAACAATAGACAAGTACTACTCTATATACCTATACATGAACGCTGATACTTCTTGAGAGAGAATTGAAAATTAAGAAAATACCTAACATATTAGGTCCACCAATAAATAGTCTTTCTAGCCTTTTCTTCTTTCAAAATTACAGTGAAGATTAAACAACGATGACAAATATCACTGAAACGGCGTATGCATCCGATGTTCTCGAAAATAAGTATTAAATTTGACGAAATGCCGTGGATTATTTCTTGGTACACTTAATACAATTCTGTTCGTAAATGATTGGATACAGTTATGTTACCCTAGTAGCATTTATGGTTGGCCAATGGTATTCAACAGTTGGGAGTTAGTTGAGATATAGTTAGTGGTTTTGCTTACAAATTCCAAAAATAGGGCCTACGACGACAAAGTTATGACAATTTGCCAACGAATATCCAATGTTGGGCGTACAATTATTATAGTTGGTTAATTAACAAGAAACTTACAATGATAATACAACATTGGCCCACTCAAAGTTTGCCAACATTTAAATATCGTTTTAAAGACGTCAGAAACGTTGCTACAACCAAAAACTTGTTAGTATATTTCAAATTGATTTTTTTACTTTCTTATTTATGAATATATTCACAATTTGTTACTATCGCGCAACACGTTTGGCATTTGACATTTTGTGAAAATAGTGTCAGGGGATAGAAGGTTGGAAATAATTTATAATAATTAGCTACATGTATAAATTGTACATAATAAATTGTAAAGTTTACTTTTCTGGTAAAACACTTGTTTACCTGTTTAATTATTATAAGAAGTAATTATTATAAATATTATTTCCAGTGTTATGCTCCTTCAAATATTTGTAAAGGATTTTATGGAAGTGTAGTATAGCCAACTGTCTTCCTATTGTTGGTTTATTGTAGATACTCAACAATTGGCCCTACAAAAAGAAACCTCCAGTTGGCCCTTCGTAGTATAGTGACGTGGGCCCTACGTTGGGTATGATTGTTGGCCCAGTTGCAAAAAGGGTGACAATTCTAACTGTTGGCCAACCAATAGTGCATCAAAGGCCCATTAAAATGCTAACAGTAATTGCTACGAGGGTACTGAATGTAGAATCAAAATAAACAAATGTTATAAAAGCGTATACATTATAAAATAAACAAACTTTTATGAATTCTCTACACTCTAGTCTAGAGAACGTGTAACTCATATTTTGAGTTCTAAACAATCTTAAATTTTCTTTATACAGGGTGTGACAAAAATGTTGAAAGACCCGGAAATGGGAAACTCATAAGGTGATTTGAAACAAGTTTTCCCTTAGCTAACGTTATAGCAGAAACTCTGCCGGCAGATTCGCGCTCTGATTGGCCGGGGTTTTTCGTTAATATCTCGTTAACAAAGTCTCGGATAACATTTTTGCGATGGAAAAACTTGCTTTAAATCATCTAACGAGTCTCCCAGTTCCGGGTCCTCCAACATTTTTATTACACCCTGTATAAGCAATGCTAATATACATATGTATTTGTATACCTCGGAGGAAATCCGTTAAGGCTTGAATATATCTTTTTGGTCTAGCTTTGATGCTTGAATTGTTCACCGAAATGATTGGCGATGATGCCGATATACTTCTTGGTTTAAACGCTATTCCTTCAAAAGAATTGCATTTAATACCGGTAGTATTACTTGTTCGAATAATGCTTTCCACTTACCTGGACTACCGAATTTCCGAAGTGAATTGAAATACTTCGGCATTAATATGGATCTTGTAGCTGGGTCAGTGTACTGAAAGAACGGTTTGTCCAACTTGGAAACAAAATCCACACTGATCTTCATTTGAAGCGCGAATATTGCTCCCAACACGGAGAAGAAACACAAATAGAACAGTCCTAGCTGTGCTAAATTTTAAAAGAATGTTTTACATCGAACTTAAAGTATTCGAATGCCTTCGACTTAAACGTTAGTGTTGAAACGAATAAAGCTACGAACACGAATTGATATTACACCATGTGTAATACGGCAAAAAGAAGTAAATGCCGTAACACGAAAAAACAACAGAAATATAACAAGTAAATGCGTTATAAACCACAAATATGTCCTTGCATATATCGGCGTTTATTTTAACTTTTCCATCCGTTCTGGGATAAATAATTATCGTTTGCTAATTATTTGTAACATACAAAATCATCATGCAATAAGATTATTGTCCTCCGATAATTTTTAAAATCCTCTAGTTTCTATCACTTTTCCTTCACGGCTATTAGTGTTTTTTTTTAATTAATTGAAATAATAATGTGCCACGGTATGAAACTGAAAGAACCTTGAGCTCATGTGTGTTCTGTGTTGTGCAATCAAAATACGACGTGAAAACGTAAAAGTTTAAAAGAAATAATTCAGATATTTGATTAAAAAAGAACCTTGGAAAAAGATTCGTTTTTTCGTGACGAGCAACAAAAGATACAAAAAACCGGATGACGATAAATTGATGTAACACATTGTTGCTACGTCTTTAATATTTCCCACGGCATTTAAAGATTGTGTAAGCAAAACACGTTCGTAACCGAAAATACGGATTTGTTAAAATCGAATAAAAGCATCGAGACAAATGTTAAATGCGGTAACCTCTATTTCACATTACCCCATTCTTTTCCTGTTCTACCGAGGAATGCTTTTCGTTTCTTGTTCCAGATAAACCGTAGAATATTTCCAAAGGCTCCTAAATCAGGTTGAGGTATACGACTCTCGTAATATTTGTCGTCGTGTAATATAACCATTTCAAAATTAATCTTATAGCTCCGAACACAAATTTTTATGCAGGTTAATATGAGATTTTCGACGTTTTGAAGGTAGCTGCATTCTGTTGATATAGAAAAAATGGATATGCAACGTAAATATTTTCCATGGATACCTTTTTACCTATTATGTAAATACTTGTTTTAAAGTATGTAATTTACATATTTAAAGATATACAGGGTGTTCACGCTATTAGTTACCAGTGTTTTTCTCGTAAGTGGTAGGTCTGTGAGAAAAATTGGATAGGACAAAGTAATTATTTGTTATACGATGACTTGAACAGATTTTTTAAATTTGCCTTTCGTGTAATAGCTACAATTTGGTTTATTTCACTTGAAAGCGGTTGTCGAAACGAGTTCAGCGACCTCCAACACAATATTGTTTAAGGTCACTGAAATACAACATAAAGGAAATATTTTGAAAAAAATTTATGTATTATAAAAAATTGTATACCACTACATTTACTATTACCTGCATTGGGGACAATGACGAAATTCTATTGTTGGGCTGTCCCATCAGTCCTTGCAATTTACAACCAGTTTTATTTTTATTTTGTATTTATGGAAACTTAATTTCTATTCTACGATGTAATCACCGCTTGATAATGATCAATAGCATTCAGCTATATGCTCGGCAAGGTATGAATGTCTTTCTCTCAGAAAAATCGGGGCTGGGATGCGAAAAAATCACCAATATACTTTTTGAGAGTGGTATAATTATCAAATTTCTTGCCCAGATGCGACTTCTCTCAGAAAAATCGGGGCTGGGATGCGAAAAAATCACCAATATACTTTTTGAGAGTGGTATACTTATTAAAGTTCTTGCCCAGATGCGATACGGTACGAACATCACGGTAAATAATGCCACACGGTGCGAACTTCACGGGAAATGATGCCAGACGATGCGAACTTTATGGGAAATGATGCGAACCGATGCGAACTTCACGGAAAATGATGCGAACTTCACGGAAAATGATGCGGTCACGGTACGAACATCACGGTAAATAATGCCACACGGTGCGAACTTCACGGGAAATTATGCGAACCGATACTAACTTGACGGGAAATAATGTGAACCGCTGCGATCTTGATGGGAAATGATGCGAACCGATGCGATCTTGACGGAAAATGATGCAAACCGATGCGATCTTGACGGGAAATGATGCGAACCGATGCGAACTTGACGGGAAATGATGCGAACCGATACGAACTTTACGGGAAATGATGCGAACCGATACGAACTTTACGGGAAATGATGCGAGACGTTGCGAACTTCACGGGGAATGATGCGCACCGATGCGAACTGGACGGGAAATGATGCGACACGGTGCGAACTTGACGGGAAATGATGCGAACCGATGCGAACTTCACGGGAAATGATGCGAATCGATGTGAACTTGCCGGAAAATGATGCGAACCGATGCGATCTTGATGGGAAATGATGCGAACCGATGTGAACTTGCCGGGAAATGATGCGAACCGATGGAATCTTGATGCGAACCGATGCGAACTTCACGGGAAATGATGCGAACTGATGCGAACTTCACGGGAAATGATGCGAACCGATGTGAACTTGCCGGGAAATGATGCTAACCGATGCGATCTTGACAGGAAATGCGAAACAATGCGAATTTCACGGGAAATGATGCAAACCGATGCGATCTTGACGGGAAATGATGCGAACCGATGCGAACTTCACGGGAAATGATGCGAACCGATACTAACTTGACGGGAAGTAATGCGAACCGTTGCGATCTTGACGGGAAATGATGCGAACCGATGCGATCTTGACGGGAAATGATGCTAACCGATGCGATCTTGACGGGAAATACGAAACGATGCGAATTTCACGGGAAATGATGCGAACCGATGCGAACTTGACGGAAAATGATGCGAACCAATGCGAACTTGACGGGAAATGCTGCGACAGCAGATGTCGTTTAAGAGCTCGGAACACATGAAAGTCCGAAGCTGCGATGTCCGGGCTGCACGGTGGATGGAGCACAATCGAATATCCCACACCCCAGATAGCACATGACGCCTTAAAGACACCTCTTTTACGGTTATTTTAGGTCTATGGTGTCTTTAAACCATCTTCAAGGCGTCATGTGCTATCTGGGACAGTACCGGGCAAATGAATTCAGACAAAGACATTTTTCGTTATATTTGTTGTTATGGTGATGTTACTAAAGTTCTGCCCTGCAGTGTGTTTACGATTATTCCGACGCAAGCTTTCATAAAAGTTACACGGAGCTACCTTACGTATCACAAAATATAAAAGAAGTTTTATCTGTATATAGCTAGACAAAAGTATTCGGACGTTTCATTCACAATCATAAATTGTAATCTGAAACAAGAACTTCACGAGAACATTATAGTTATACCTTTATTTTATCCATTCTCGGATGGCACGAGGTAAAAATTCAGCAAAAATTTTAAAACGAAACATCATAGACGGCTCAAATGGAGCGCAATCATCCATAGTTTCGTGATGTACGGACATCCTCAAATAGACGGTATATTCAGCAAAATATACAATTTATTCGAGGAAGACATTTAGAAAATATATCAGTATGGGAGATCTAAGAAAATAACAATTACAAAAGACAGACGGTTTGGATCGGTCTGGGCTTATTTAGGCTAGCGGGATGGTTTCAGCAATGATTCGCTTGGCGTGGAATGATCCGTATATCATGTGATAATAGGACGTTATCTTGTCAGATACACCTCATGCACCGCCAAGCAAAACAGTTGTCCACTTCAGAATTCCTTCCCAGAAGACAGTCCGGAAAAAACAATAGTCCCATTACATGCTACGATATCCTGCCCAGATAGCATATGATTCCTTGAAGACGACTTAAAGGCGCCTTAGACTTAAAAGTGCCGTAAAATGGGCGTCTTCAAGGCGTCATGTGCTATCTGGGTGTGGTGTTGATCATAGTTTTTTTCCTCAAATCAGTTTATTTACTGGGCCCTGCATCATCCAATTATTATGTATTTTGACCTTTCCAGCTGTATGTAAACATTTCAATCCTGACTGTGAGATAAATCAAACGGTGCGTAACTAACTGCGACTAATATGACACCGTTCGTATTATTATTACGGGATGCTTACAAGAAGCATAGGACTACTACAAAACGGTCGATTCTTTTTTTTTCAATAACCATTTTCAATTTCCAAATGTCTACGTGTACATGATTACAAGACAGATTTAAATTAAAATTATGCGATCACAAAATAATAAGAAACAAAATATCGGAACGGAAATTATTCGTAAGAGTTGAATTAACATACTTTTGCAAGTATAAATAATATGTAAATCGCCAATTTTGTCATAATTATTTAAATCGCAGGTAAGAAAATGGTAACTACGTGTTGTTTATTAAACCGATCATTACGTTTGTTTCCTTCCTATTTCTGTTTTTATTTTTAACATTTAAGTATAAAGAACGATCATAATAAATAAATATGGTAATAAAAGGAATACGTAGGAACTTATTGATTTACTGCGAAAAAATAATTCATTCCTGCGTTCACATACATAGATTTTTAAAGTAGACATTCGTTTCCCACACTAGTTGGGGCTGTGAGGGCCAGAATTCCAGGAACCATGCAGGTATCGGTCATCAGTTACCCGAGCGCTTTCCCCACCACTCGGCCGTTCAGTCGAGCGACGCAACTACATATAGCGGTTAAATTAATTATCTCCGTTATTTTTAGAGATATCAGAAAAGTTTATTCACAGATGTTGATCAATATAAAGAGGGCTATTACTTAGCAGTAACAAGTTTTTCGTAGGTGGAGTATCTTCTAAGTTTTCAAAGTTAATTATGTTATTTTTATTAATGATATTGAAATATTATGAAACAAATACTTTCATTACATAAATCAATTCTTCCAAACATTCTGCGTAATAAAGTAATAAGGTATTATGTGAAAAAGGTAATAATTCGTGACATATTTTACATAAAAAATTTGAAATATGTCACGAATTGTTATGTAACTCCTACTCAACCTACAAGAAAGTTATTATTGCTATATGAAATGAAATTGCTACCAATATTCATACAGTTGTCCGCGAAGTTGTTGTTCAAACAAAACATTCAAATATGTCGTTGAATTCGTCTTCAAATGCTTAATGAAACGACAGTAAACAAAATATGTAGTTCCATTGTAAAAAAGTTACATTGGTATTAGAATCTAAGTAAATAACAATAATAGAAAAATTCAAATATTCTATTAAGTTTACTTCATGAAATCAAACAGTTTTCATATGAAACATTCCTTGACATTTTCAATGGTTACAAAAATAATAGCGTGTATATAGTTAAACCGGATATTCTGTACATATTATTTTACCATTTTTTCAGTTTCTATGGTTAAACACCTTAAAGATATATAATATTCTTATTCTTCACTCTAACTATGTTATATCTTATACTTGTTGTGTAATTTTTACAGGTTTAGCTGCTTACATAAGTATTTATATTCATTATGAATGAAGAATAATACGAAATGTAGTTGATTATAACTGAAAGTATCTAAAAACATAGCAACATTTCATTAAAACAGTATTATACACACTGCGTTTTTCGTGATGAGATATGCGAGTTAAACGCGACACCGTATGTGTTCCGGCCTGGGCGTGCTGGGCGCAGAGTCGGTACACGCGCGCGGAGAGAAATACGTGTGAGCAAGGGGTATGGCTTTCGTGCAGATAACGGTAGCGCAGCAAGCGAATGTCTACTATACACCTCACACACACGGGGTCCCTGGCGTCTACATAGGGGGTTCTAGGACCCCTCGATCGCACCACACAGGGTCTCTGGCACCTCGTGCGGGGGTTCTGTAACCCCACGATCTCACCACCCGGGGCTCTGGCGTCTCCAGCGGGGGTTCTGTGACCCCACGATCTCACCGCACGGGATGTCTAGCGCCACCGGGAAATAGTTGGCGCCGAATATTAACGTATCTGTCCGTT